CTGCCTGTAATTCTGGCTACTTGGAAGGCTGAGACGGAAGGATCGCTGGAGCCCAGCAGGTCGAGGCTGCAGTGGCCGGGAGCGGCCACTGCACTCCAGTCTGGGCGACCGAGTGAGACTCCAACTCAAAAAAAAAAAAAAGTGAGTATACTGTGAAAAAAAAAAAGAAAAGAAAAGAAAGCATGTATTGGCCAGGCTCAGTGGCTCAGCCTGAGCCCGCGGGTTCGAGACCTGCCTGGGCAACTTGGTGAGACCTCATCTGTACAATAAATAGAAAAAATTAGACGGGCGTGGTATCGCGCGCCTGTAGTTCCAGCTTCTTGGAAGGCTGAGGCGGAAGGATCACCGGAGCCCAGCAGGTCAAGGCTGCGGTGGCCGGGAGCGGCCATTGCACTCCAGTCTGGGCGACAGAGTGAGACTCCAACTCCAAAAAAAAAAAAAAAGAAAGCATGTATTTATTGAGTACCTCAAGATAATTGCATTGAGCAACTGCCAAGCACAAGGCAGTGTCCTAAGCACACAGCAGATATTTAGTGAGTTGCAGCTACATGCTAGGTACTACCCTAAGGATCCTGTAGTTAAAAACACAAAACCCCTGCTCTTCTGGACCTTGTGTTCTAGAAGGGAGAGATAGACAGCATGTAAGTAACCAAGATAATTTCATATAGTAGTAGAGACTGTGAAGAAAATAAAGCAGAGTATTGGAATCTGTGTGCCTGAGGTTGTATGCGGCTACACTAGGAGGCTTGATTCAGTCCAAAGTTGATAGAGAAGCTGAGACCTAATCAATGAGAAGGAGCCAGCTGTGCAAAGCTCTGGGGAAAGAGTGTTCCAGGCAGAGGAAAGGGCAACTGCAAAGAAAGCCTGGGATGGGAAGACTTGGTGGGTTTGAGGAACCACAGTAGGCAGTGTAGCTAGGGTGGGGAGTGAGAGTTTTAAGCCAAACTGTTGAAAGGAGTTTGAAGTGCGTTATGGGTGTAATAGGAAGCCATTAATGGGTGTTAAGCAGGGGAATGATGGACCCTGAATTGTGCTCTCTAAGACCACTGTGGACCCACCCTCCTCTCAAGTGCTCAGGCTCCAGACCTGGAAGACCCTCATCTTGTTGGTCATAAACTCTGTCAGTTTTCCTTTGAAATAATCTTGGCTGGGCGCAGTGACTCAAGCCTATAATACCAGCATTTTGGGAGACTGAGGCAAGAGGATTGCCTGAGTTCACGGGTTCGAGACCAGCCTGGGCAACTTGGTGAGACCTCATCTCTACAATAAATTTAAAAATTAGGTTGGGCTCGGTGGCTCAGCCTGTAATCTCTGCACTTTGGGATGCTGAGGTGAATGGATTGCCTGAGCCCGTGGGTTCGAGACCACTCTCTACAATACATCAAAAAATAGCCAGTATGATAGCGCGTGCTTGTGGTTCCAGCTACTTGGAAGGCTGAGGCAGAAGGATCATCAGGGCCTAGCAGGTTGATGCTGGGGTGACTGTGTGAGTGTGCCACTGCACTCCAGCCCGAGTGATGAAGTGAGACTCCAACTAAAAAAAAATTTTAAAAATTAGCCAGACATGATGGCGTGTGCCTGTAATTCTAGCTACTTGGAAGACTTGGGGTGGGAAGGATCGCCTGAGCCCAGCAGGTTGAGGCTGCAGTGGCTGTGAGCGTGCCACTGCACTCCAGCCTAAGTGATAAGGTGAGACTCTGACTAAAATAAATAAATAAAAGCACACTGGGGGGCTGAGATGGTAGGATTACCTGAGCCCACAGGTTCAAGACCAGCCTGGACAACTTGGCAAGACCTCATCACTCCAATAAATCAAAAAATTAGCCGGGTGTGGTAGTGCACACACTGCTGGCTAGTTGAAAGACTGAGCCCAGCAGGTTGACGCTAGAGTGGCCGTGAGCATGCCACTGCACTCCAGCCTGGGCGATGGAGTGAGACTCCAACTCAAAAATAAATAAATGAACAAACAAATAAATAAATAGAAAAATCTTTTGAATGCATCTGCTTCTCACCACCCCACTGCTGGTTCTCTAGTCAGGACCACCATCCTCTCTGCCAGAATTACAGCAGTAGCCCCTGAACTGACCTTTCTCCTTCCTTCCATGCCTCCCATCTTCCAGACAAATGCAGCGCATTCCTGCTTTGCAGTTTGTTTGTTTTCTGCCTGGTACTGTCCTGTCCTTTCACAGGTCAAGCTCAAAAGTCACCTCTGTAAAGTTTGTGCTGACTCTGCCCCAGCCCCATGTTGTTATTACTTACTTGAGCTAGATTTTGCCTCCACCTCCGTAGCAAGGTGTGTTGTGCTCATCCCCAGGCAGCCTTGAGACTAGGTCCTAACTGCTGCCCCTACTAGTCCTCCTTAAACTGGGTTGGTCTCTCAAGCACCCAGGTCCTCTAGGGCCATGGTTCGTAGACTGCATACAGATCTGGGATTCCTATGGGTTGCATATTGGAGTCCATCTGAGATTTGGTTTTTTTGTTTGTTTGAATGCCCATGGCTGTTAAAAAAAATTGAACTTCACTGGGCGTGGTGACTCACGCCTATAATCCCAGCACTTTGGGAGGCTGAGATGAGAGGACTGCCTGAGCCCAGGGGTTCGAGACCAGCCTGGGCAACTTGGTGAGACCTCATCTCTACAATAAGTCAAAAAATGAGCCAGGCATGGTTGCGCATTTCTGTAGTTCCAGCTACTTGGAGGGCTGAGGCGGAAGGATCACCTGAGCCCAGCAGATCGAGGCTGCAGTGGCTGTGAGCATGCCACTGCACTCCAGCCTGGGCGACAGACTGAGACTCCAACTCAAAAAAAAAAACTTGAACTTTTAGTGCTTTTGTCCTGATCTCTACACTTGCTCATTCTCTTCCTTCATTGTTTCCTCAGGAAAACCTTTTCTGAGCTCCTCTACCCCCAGATTGTGTTTCCTCCCCCATCTTTTTTTTTTTTTAATTATTATTATTATTTTATTTTATTTGTTTAGTTGGAGTCTCATTGTCGCCCAGGCTGGAGTGCAATGGCACACTCATGGCCACTGCAGCCTTGACCTGCTGGGCTCTGGCGATCCTTCTGCCTCAGCCTTCCAAGTAACCGGAACTACAGGCACGCACTTCCATGCCCAGCTAATTTTTTTGATTTATTGTAGAGACGAGGTCTTGCCAAGTTGCCTGGGCCGGTCTTGAACCCGTGACTAAACCACCGAATCCAGCCTCATCATCATCATTATTATTATTATTGTCAGTTTCTCGCTCTTTCTCCCAGGCTGGAGGGCAGTGGCATGATCACAGTGATCACAGCTCAAGGGATCCTTCCGCCTCAGCCTCCCAAATAACTGGGACTACAGGCATGTTCCACCATACCCAACTAATTTGTTTTTTGGGTTTTTATGTAGAGACAAGATTTCGCTATGTTGCCCAGGCTGGTCTCCAATTCCTTGGCTCAAGCAATCTGCCTGCCTTGGCCTCCCAAGATGCTGGGATTATAGATGTGAGCCACCACGCCCCGCCCCATTTTTTTTTTTTAACCTCTTATTGAATATAACTTACATACCAAAAGGTGCACAAATCTCAAGTGTACAGCTCAGTGAGCTTTTGCATACATACATAGTCATATAACTGCCACCCAGACAGAGGATAGAAAGCACTTTCAGAACCGAAAGAAAGTGTCTTTCCAATCAGTTCTACCACAGAGATAACCGCTCTTCTGACCACAAGCCAAGATTAGTTTGGCCTTTTCTTGAACTTCAGTAGATGGAATACTATGTTCTGTACTATTGTATAAGTTTTCTTTCATTCAATCTGTGAAAGTGTGTGTTGTATGTAACAGAAGTGTATTCTTTTTCATTGTTATGTACTATCTAATTGTATGACTGTGCCACAATGTTTAGTTATTTATTTTATGTTGGACATTTGGGATATTTCTAGTTTGATTATTTGCTGTTGTTTTAAGAGACAGGGTCTCTCTGTTGCCAGACTGGAGTGCAGTGGCATGATCATGGCTCACTGCAGCCTGGGTCTCCTGGGTTCAGGGATCTTCCTGCCTTAGCTTCCCAAGTAGCTAGGACTACAGGCGTGTGCCTCCTTGCCCAGATTTTTTTTTCTTTTTTTTGACTTGGGGTCTCAGTCTGTCACCAGATTGAATTGCAGTGGCATACTCACAGTCACCACAGCCTTGACCTGCTGGGCTCAGGTGATCCGTCCGCCTCAGCCTTCCAAGTAGCTGGAATTATAGGTGTGCACCACCCTGTCTGACTGATTTTTTAATTTATTGTAGAGAAGAGGTCTTGCCAAGTTGCCCAGGCTGTCTTGAACCCCTGGGCTCAGGCAATCCTCTCACCTCCGCCTCCCAAAGTGCTGGGATTA